GAAGGGAGGTCGCTGGGGAAGCATGACCTGGTCGTCAGGTTCCTTAAGGGGGCGAGAAGGTTAAATCCTCCACGGCCCCCCTCTATACCCTCTTGGGACCTGACTCTGGTGAGCCTCTGCAGGTGGTTGAGTTAAAGTTTCTGTAAATGAAGACTTTGCTCCTGCTAGCATTGGCCTCCATCAAGAGGGTCTCTCCTTGCCCATGGCAATATTTGTGTGACTGAGTAGAAGTCTTATTTGTAGATCTATCATAACTTTATATGGCCGGCACATCCAATCCTACTGCTCTTTTTGCAATTATAGCCATAATAAGAGTGGGTGTTGGCTTTTCCTTCCATGTAATCAAAGGTAACTGACCTGTGTGCTGTACAATCACGACTCGGTCCATAATGGGCTCTTCACATAACTGGCTGTATTGGAGCAGATTACAGCATGGCGTTTTAAAGGCCCTACCTGATGCAGTCATTTGCTTGGTATGATTGGATGCAGTGAAAGGAGCTAAATAAGCATTGAGAAGCAGATACGGCACATTAGGTTTATAAATTGAAGGGCGGTAATGATGAACTGAGCTGAGGGCGTCTGATGGACAGTGATGGCTCCCCAGAGTGAAGGCTCTGCTGAGTTTTTGTTGCCGTCTATGGCAGTGATTGAGGGTGTATCGGGCCCTTTGTTTTTAGAAGATCTCACGGTGCATTGAGAGAATGGGAGCAGGGCTAAACATTGATAGCACTTAAGTAGCTTATCGCATCTGCGGAGCGTTTAGCTGATGCACAGTGAAAGAGGGCCCCAAGAGTGAACACTTATCTCACGCTCCAATGAAATATTGCCGTAGCTTCCTCACTCAAGTGCTTTCTTACAATAGATCACCCCGGTGCCCTCTTTTCACGGCGTTTGTAGTATTGACTCACTCTAATTTAATATGAACCTTTTCATAGACATGTAAAACCATATTTCTTACGTTCACAATGCCCAAATGGCCTTTAAAATTTGGTCCAAATTCAAAACTGTAGATCTTTCTGAAATGAACATGTGTATGTTATATTGATGAATGTGCAAGTAATGAGCTTTATGTACAGTATGTAATGATATGCTGATTAAACTGGTTTAATTTAATTCTTTATTTAGTGGATAATTCCTCGTTGATTAGAGGTACATTTCTTCCAAAGCAGCCTGATTTTAAGTGCTTTACTTAAGGGCACAATGGTGATCATAATGGGGAAACTAAGAGATTCAATTTCATGGATCATTCTTTCTGGGGTCTGAACTTTTTAGATTGCCATCTTTAACAACAACTCTACCATAAGTATTGAATATTTGTAATGCATCACAGGGTTGTGCTACATTCAGGATTGAATTGAGATTGAGAATTTGAATTGACTGAATTATATTTGTAATTGAGACTGAGAATTTGAATTTAGCAGTTTGCAGAATCAATTTTTAATGTAAGAAAGTAGAATTAAAAAACAATTGAAAAGTCATATAACTGCTATATGTTTAGATTTTAATATTACATTTAAAGAATGGTTTATTTCCCATTAAGTTTGTTTTTAATCTTAGTTAATGTTAATTTAAATGTAAAATCAAAAGTTATGTCTGTAAACATTTAATGGATTCAAATATTGTAAATATTTAAATATTGTAACAAATGTATTGCTCATTGACAGTTAATGTTAGTTAATGCATGAACTAAAATTAACTAATGGGAACTTACTGCACTGAAAAAAAAAATGAAGAAATAAATTTCACTCAGAAATTTCTAGTAAATGTCTAGAAACACACTGAATTAAACGTGAAATTTTGAAGTAGAAAGTCTGAAATAGTGAAACGTACTCCTGTAATCTTTGTTTTACGTATAACTTTGAATTATTTGTACTTTTACTGTTATTTTTAATAGTCAGATAAAGTTATCTGAAAACAATTTTCTGGATATTTCAAATAAATTATATAATATTTATTTAAATATAATAATTATCTTATTATATTATTAATTAACTAAATCCTTCTTTCTAAATTCTGAATTAAAAATGAAATAATTCTTAAATTATGTATTTTGCCCAACCGTGGTACAGTATGAATCATTTTAAGCAACATTTATATGTCTTTGTTTACAAGTTTATAACTTTTATGGTTTACTGAAACAACTGGTTTGAAATGTGCTTTTATAGATGTTTAAAGACCAGAAGCCATTACAAGCATGTGTGCTGCATTTGTGCTGAGCTGTGCATTTCAGAGTGATATAAAACAGCCTTAGTCCACAGCTTGTGTCCATAGACATCAGTCTTATTTGTATTTAAGTGCAGCTCGCTCTCATTTGCTGTGACTCTAAGGAGCTGTGACTCAACCTCGACAGACAGCAGAGCTGACTTACTGTGAAAGTGGAAATGGCACTTGCGGTGCTTTGTGCAGTAATGGTATTTATACTGCAGTATCCTGCGCTGGGTTCATATTGTGTCTTCCTTAGTGTCCGCTCATTTCATTGGCCTGCTTAATGCTAGTAGGTGCATCCGTGCTCTGTTTATAATGTGGATATTACTTCTGATAGATGTGTTATGCTTTGCAATAGCAACAAAGACTAACTGTGAGGGCAGTTTTACAGACTAGTGAGTACAAAAGCACAGTAGGCATTTTCATGCTGTGCTGCTCAAATTAGTTTATTAATTCTGTCTGTTACAAAAATGTTTAATGTGAAGTCACTCCATTTTGCCTCCACTCCAACAGTGGTGGCTTGTGGGTTTTAAAATAGAGGAGGCACACTAATTGTATTGGTCTGGGGATCCCTGCCAATTATTATTATTATTATTACAGCTTAGGCATGTTCTCCCTTTATTTTTAATTTGTACAGTATATATACTGTTTGAATGACAGCTTGGTAAATCTGTTGGCGATCAAATATTCAATATCGCTACTCATAAGTACTTTTGGTATATTATCAGCGCAGCGGGAGACGTTCAAACTAATAGCACGTCATTTACGTCTCTATGATGATTGGTTGATATCAGAAAGGAGGCTAGCCTCCCCTGTGAGGTTTCTTTTCTCAACACTCCTCAGCGCTGAAATTGAACACTCCATGGTGATTGGCTAATTTTTTTTACCAACGGAGGCACGAGAGCTCAGCTCTCCCCCTCCCCTTCTCTATCACGTAGCAGTTGTAATTACATCAGAATATTCGGCAATTCGCGATAGAAAAGCGGCGCTTTCCAACTTCAGTAACATGTTATGGTATTACAGCTGTAATACAAGTTCTGAGATATGAACTGAAATTAATTGTGAATTTTATTAACATTAAATCGTCCTCCTCCCATTTTCACCTCAAATTTTTTGGGAAGCTGTGCCTCCCCTGCCTCCCCCGAGGAGCCGCCACTGCACTCCAATGCTATTTCAATGAATGAAGTATTTCAATGTCCTTACATTGTAAAGTTTGGACCAGACAGGCTATTTTTAATATTTGATTGTAGCAGGAATTATTTTTTTCTACCCTTCTGAAATGCCAGGATTTGAAATAGGGAGAATCGTGACATCACGATTTCCCCTTGACACGCACCTTAACATTGTCGTATGTAATCAAGGAAGTGTTCTGAACAACTTATCAACTTATCAACTATATCGGTCCATCAATCACAAGAGTGATACTGCTAGGTAAACAACAGGGGTGTGAAGTAACGAATTACAAATACTCATGTTACAGTAATTAAGTATTTTTTATCAGTAATTGTACTTTTTTGAGTAGTTTAAAAATTGTGTACTTTTACTTTTACTTGAGTACATTTTAAGTGATGTATCGGTACTTTTACTCCACTATTTTCCTCCGTTTGTGGTCGTTGCATGCTTATTTTAATTTTAATTTTATTTTTATCCACGAACGTGATTGGATAGTGAGATAGTAATAGGTCTCGTGACTTTCGTCAAATCAAATTGTGC